TCCTGGAGAAAGATGAGCAGGCTTCTCCTTTTAAGATTAATAGCTTCAGTTAGAGTCTGTGCAGAGGCGGCGTGGAGGGTTTCATGTCCAAGCAGCTCTGGTAGCAGCTTGCTCTATGATGCTGCCACCCAGCCTTCAGAGGGAAGGCCCAAGAGGCTGAGTGACAACGGCGAGTGGGAATCCTGTTCCGCTTACCCCTGCAAGGTCTGGCTCCAAGAAAGATTCCAGGCGATCTAGAGTAAAGTCCAGGTCCAGATCTGAATCTAGGTCTAGAGAAATTCTTAAAGGCATTACACAAGGTCCCGTTTCCACTCTCCCTCCCATAGGAGATCCCGAAGCAGGTCTTACAGTTGAGATTATCACAGACATCATAGCCAGTCATTCTTCCATATCTACTCACTGGCATCACGTTGGAAATCGGGCAAATCCTGATCCCAACTGTTGTCTTGGAGTATTTGGATTGAGCTTTGGATATACCAGAGAGAGATCTAAGAGAAGTATTCTCTAAATATGGGTCCACTACCAATGTGCCTGTCTGTAGTCTATGACCAGCAGTCTAGATGTTCAAGAGGATTTGCCTTTGCATATTTTGAAAATGTAGATGGTGCCAAGGAAGCTAAAGAATGTTCTAATAGAATGGAGCTTCATGGCCATAGGATTAGAGTTGATTTCTCCATAACAAAACGACCACATACCCCAACACCTGGAATTTATATAGGGAGACCTACTTATGGCAGCTTGCATAGCCAAGATAACTATGAAGAGGTGGAGAAGGAAGAGGATGGAGAGCAAGATGGGGGGTCAGATTTACAGAAGGCGATCACCTTCCTACTACCGTCGTGGTGGATACAAATCCCGTTCCAGATCTCCATCATACTCTCCACGTGGATAGTAAAGCATGAAGTTGAGGACCGAGACATGCTCTAGAGTTTGGGATGTTGATTGTGGACAATATTTTTGTATTGTCTCCATCTAACATACTTTGGACATGTTGTGAGGAGAAACCAGTCCTTGGAGAAGGACATCATGCTTGGGAGGGTGGAGGGACAGCGCAGGAGAGGAAGACCCTCTATGAGGTGGATTGATTCAGTGACTGGGATAATCGGGATGGGAGTGTCAGAGACAGTGCGATTGGCACAGGTCAGAGCAGAGTTTAGGGCTGTTGTACATAGGGTCGCTATGAGTCGCAAGCGACTCGACGGCACATAACAACAAGAACAACAACCTGTTTAAAAAGTGAACAGTGCCTAGTGGAGTGAGGTGACTTTTACACCTTTCATGATGAATACTTTGGGTGGAGTTGAAATGCTGTTTTCATTCTGCATTTGTGTAGTTTGGTGCTTTGTTCCAAGTTGTTTTCAGAAAAGTATGTTTTGCATGTATTCTTTTCTTACAGTCTAAATTTTGACTGCTAAGTTGTTTCTATTGTACAAAACTTCATTTAAAAGGTTTTTCTACTGAATCCATGTATTCTGAAGATCAAAGCCTGTGTAAAATGCTACCAAAATAGCAAAAAAGTAACAATAAACAGTTTTGATTTTTACTTTTCAACACATCAAATTTTAGCCAATACTATCCAGATAAAGTTGTCAGTGGTAAATTTAAACACAATCTACCATTTTTCTCAAGTTCATTGAAAGTACCATACTTAATACTTGTGACTTATGTATTAAAATCATGCTCTGTAACTCTCCACTGCTAGAATTACAACTAAAGAGACTTCAACACAGCACATGCTTAATGCTTATCTAAATGTGGATTTCTCTAACTTTATGTAATTGGTATTAAATACAGCAGGGAATAAGAGGAGTTAAGCAGTATATGCCTAGGAAAGGCTCACTCTTAAGCTGTTAAAAGGTGATCATGGTATTTCAGCTAGATATCAGCAAGTAGCAACATATTCCACCACAAATGTACTCTTGCTCCTCTAACTTTTAGGCTATGTTTAAAATGCTGGGTGCTTGGAAGTGCCGGATAAGAGAAGGTAACACCTAGACCTGTGTTGTGGATTATCTCAAAACTTAACCTGTCGGTTTTTATTTCAACAGTCCTTTAAGGTCCTTTATTCACCAAAAAGAGACCTAACTTAACTCAAATGCTTTGAAAACTGTGTTTAAATAAACTGAAAACAGACCAAAAAAAAATAAAGAAAGAAAAGATTAATAGCTTCAGAAATGAATAGAGAGTGGCTATGAGTAGGACACCAGAGCCTTGGGTTTAAAGAAACTGTCCCTTTTTTGTTTAATTTATCCTTATTAAGAGGTTTCTTAATGTCGTTGTTATGCTGTTGCCACCTCTTTGCCATCCTCCCTCTTTCCCTGCTCTTAAGCTGTCCACATTTGCACACTGAATTTCTACTTTAGGTCTAGTTCAGTGCCTGACGAAACAATGAACTGGACCGGGGAAGAACAAGCAAGAATAGGAGCCACTATAAAGTCCCCAGCATCACTTCCTGAAAAGGAGTCTACAGACCACTGCGACTGATTCATTTATTTATTTATTTGTACTAAAGTTTAGTTGTTTAGTTGTTTACTTTGTTTGAAGGACAAATTCAAACCTCGAGTTGCTATAATCAAGGATGCTTTCGGCAGAACGTTAAATGATCCCAGAAGTATTAAAAGAAGATGGAAGGAATATACTGAGTCACTGTATCGAAAATAATTGGAAGACACAGAAGAATTTCATGAAACAACATATGAGCAAGAGCCTATGGTGATGAAAGAAGAAGTTCAGGCTGCTTTGAAGGACATGGCAAAAAATAAGGCTCCAGGAATAGATGGTATACCAATTGACATATTTCAGTTAACAGATGCTGCCCTGGACATGCTCACCAAGTTGTGCCAAGAAATCTGGAGAACGACCACTTGGCCAACTGACTGGAAGAGATCGATATTTGTTCCTATCCCAAAGAAAGGCGACCCAACCAAATGTGGAAACTACAGAACAATTTCACTGATTTCACATGCAAGCAAGATTTTACTGAAAATTATCCAAAAACGACTAGTACAGCACATCAACAGAGAACTACCAGAAGTCCAGGCTGGTTTCAGAAGGGGTCGTGGTACTAGAGATATTGTAGCTGATGTTAGATGGATCTTGGCTGAAAGCAGGGAATACCAGAGGAATGTCTATCTGTATTACATTGACTATGCAAAGGCATTTGACTGTGTAGATCATAACAAACTGTGGCTGACTCTGAGAAGAATGGGAAAACCAGAACACTTGATCGTTCTAATGCGAAACTTATACTTGGACCAGGAGGCAGTCGTCAGAACAGAGCAAGGGAACACTGCATGGTTCAAAATTGGGAAGGGCGTACGCCAGGGATGCATCCTATCTCCATACCTTTTCAACCTATATGCAGAACAGATTATCCGGGAGGCTGGGCTCTATGAGGAGAAATGTGGGGTCAAGATTGGTTGACGATTTATCAACAATCTGCGTTATGCGGATGACACAACCCTGCTTGCTGAAACTGAGGAGGACCTGAAGCACCTGCTGCAGAGTGTCAAGGACTGCAGCCTACAATATGGATTGAGGCTCAATGTCAAGAAGACAAAGATTCTCACCACTGGACCAATTGGCAGCATCAGGATGGATGGTGAAGAGACTGAGATTGTACACAGCTTTAGTTTGCTTGGCTCCATAGTCAACAGTCTTGGCACCAGCAGCCAGGAAATTAAAAGGTGCATTGCCCTGGAAAAGTCTGCTGTTAGGCACCTCTCCAAAGTGCTGAAGAGCAGTGGTGTCTCTCTGGAGACTAAGGTGCATCTGATACAGGCCATGGTCTTCGCAATCACCTGTTATGCATCAGAGAGTTGGACAATGACCAAGGAGGATAGAAGGAGAATTGATGCCTTTGAGCTGTGGTGCTGGAGAAGAGTATTGAGAATACCATGGACTGCTAGGAAAACAAACAGATTTGTCCTCGAGAGGGTTAAACCGGGTGGCTCCTTGGAGGCAAGGATTCTGAGGCTCCGTCTAACTTACTTTGGACATGTTGTGAGGAGAGACCAGTCCTTAGAGAGGGACATCATGCTTGGGAGGGTGGAGGGACGGCGCAGGTGAGGAAGGCCCTCTATGAGGTGGATTGACTCAGTGACTGGGATAATTGGGATGGGAGTGTCAGAGAGAGTGCGATTGGCACAGGACAGAGCGGAATTTAGGGCTGTTGTACATAGGGTCGCTATGAGTCGCAGGCGACTCGACGGTACATAACAACAACAACAAAACAACCAAGTTTAGTTACACAACTAATTCATTGTCCTTGATTTTACGTATTTAAAAAGGACAAGTCTGCAGAAAATGTCAGTGGTGCTACTGTGACTCAAACGTGGCTCAAAGACACAGTTGTGTGGCGTATCCCTCCACACCTTCTCTGCTTAGCAAACTGTGAAATTTCTGGAAATGTGAAAAGTTGGGAAAGTGCATCCACGTGCGCGCGCGCACACACATTGAAACTTCCAGCAATGTGAAAGTATGCACATACACACAGTGTGCGCACACACACTTTGACAGTTCCAGCAATGTGAAAACTTGGGAAATCATGCGCACTCGCACACACCCACAGCGTTTCCTCTGACAATAGAATATGCCTTGTCCGGTTCAAAAACTCAAACTTCTGAACTGATAACAGGGCACCAAGTTTAAGTCCAGCCTATCGCCTGACGAGCTCGGGGGTCCTGCTGGCCCAGGACCCTTCTCCACTCTCCTTGTTCCCCGAGGTCCAGTGTCCCTGCTCCTCTAGTTTCAGGACTCCCATCCACTCTCTTTACTCCCACGTTCAGAGACCCTCTCTCTGCTCGCCTCACTCTTCGAGGCCCTGGACCCCCTGCCCACTCTCCTTGATCCCCGAGGCCCAGGACCCCCTGTCCACCCTCCCTGCTCCTTGCAGTCCAGGACACCCCCACCCCCGTCCACTCTCCTCGCTCCCCGGGACCCCAGGCCTCGCGCCCACTGGCCTTCACGCCAGCCCTGCGGCCCCTCCAGCGCGGTCTTACCCGCCGAGGACCGAGGCCGCAGAAGAGCCGGAGACCCCGAGCAAAGGAAGGCAGAGAGGCTAGCGCCATGCTGGACATCCAGGAGCGGGGCCGGAAGATGGCGGGGCGGGGGGCGGGTCCGGCCGGGCGAGGGCGGCGCGCGGGGCGGGGGCGACTGGGCGCTCGCACCTCGACCTTGAACCCGAGGCGCGGCCTCTCCGGCCGGGTCGCCACCTCCCTGAACATCGGTAGGGCGGCCTGGGTGCCCTAGGAACCACATACGGGAATCTGCATATCCCAGAAGCCACAACTTGCCTGCTTGCTGCAAATATGCATGCAAATAGATATGCAATATATGCATTAATTTCTATATACCTAGGATGGCGCAGGACAGTACAGGGCTCAGATCTGCTGTTCATAGAGTTGCTATAGTCGTATTGGACTCCACTTCACCTAACAACAACAACAACAACACATTCTTTGAGGAGCTCTGGTGGCCTACTGCATAGAAGCTGCTCTGCAATCCCAAAGGTTAGAATCCGCCATCTGCTCCTGAAAGAAATGTCAGCAATTTCCTCCTATGTGATTTACAGCCTCTGAAAACCTTCTGCAGGGTCAGCTATGAGCTGGTTCTTACACATGTATTTCTATTTCTTCCTTAGATATGTATCTGTGGGAGGTGTGGAGATGAACCACATACTACCAGAATAATAAATATATGGGACTGAAACGTAGCCTCACTTTTTCAGGCAAAGTACTTGACATGGAGGGAAAGCTGATTCTGGGTGGTAGGAAGACGTCTCGGCACACCGCGACAAGCCCTCAGAGCTCCTAATACCCAGGGACAGCAGATAAAAACGTGGCTACCCTCCATAAAATACCAAACAGCTTGACCTTTGGGACACACCAACACCCCTGAGGACTCCTCAGATCTCCACCACCGTTACCTCAGTGTGACTCCTCTTCCCTTTATCGTTAGAGATCAGCTTGGATATCATTTTCTCAGGAGAAATTCCATTGCCTGTTCAACACTCTACTAATGTGGTGGTGACATAATGAAATAATCACCTTCTAGGGGTGGAGGGACAGCGCAGGAGGGAAAGACCCTCTATGAGGTGGATTGATTCAGTGACTGGGGCAGCTGGGGTGGGTTTGTCGCAGGCAGTGTGATTGGCACAGGATAGAGCAGGATTTAGTGCTGTTGTACATAGGGTCGCTATGAGTCACAAGCGACTCGACGGCACATAAAAACAATAGGCAGAATTTCCAGTTAAGGACATTTCCAGTCAAGGACTCTCAAACACAACAACCACTCATCTGTCAATGAAAGTTTGTGTCTTCACAACATGAGACTGAACAGATTTCAGCAGCACTTCCAAACTGATTTCTGTCTTTCTATTGAAAAATTGAAATAAGGCCAACCTTGAAGCAGGGAGTCCTGACCATTTCTTCTTGTGAAAAGGACTAGAAAAATGATCAGTAACATAGTTAAAGGAAAACAATCTGGTTTCTGATTCAGAGTTTATTTCCCAGGCTGCACATTACAGGGTTTAAACGAAATGGTTTATGCTTCTGCTCTAGGAACTGGGTCCAGTCTGGGGCAGAAAGGAGACCAAGGACAGCTCTATACACAGAAGGAAAAGACTTGATTAGATTCTTCACTGCTACAAAGTGGGTTTCTGCTACCGAGAAAATATACTTTCACCATCTTTATTGTCCTTATTTATAAAACTAGGGCCTTGGTATAAATTATCTCCAAGATTCCTTGCAGATGTAAAACCCTGTGGTTTGATAAATAAACCTGATTTGGCAGTGCTGCTTGAGGCCAACTGGTGAGGTCCTAACAGGTCATTGTGAAATGCTGTTACGAGTAAACTTCTGACACATAGGTCTTTCTTTGGAATGCTAGCTCTGCAAACTTAACTGAGTTTGAATACTTCCTCTCCTTTACACATTTTAGAAGATTATCAAGCTTTAGATTTTTCAGTGTTCTACAATCATTAGCTTCTTGACTGGTTTCAGAAGGGAAAGCTAACCATGCCCCCCATTACATGGGCTAATTTGTTCTAATTCTATAAAGTTAAACCTTACAGTTTGTTATTTTGGGTCGTTCATGTTCCATTTATTAAAAAAATTAATGATGCGTGCACTCTCTCTCATTTCCATCAAGTTCAACCTCCATTGAGATTCCCCGCCTGCAAATCACATACAAGAAAGTTGCCCATCTTTTCTCCTCAGAGCTGGTGATGGATTTGAACTGTGAGAAGGGCTCCGTTTTGCGGTTAGCAGAGGAAATATCTGCAGACTCTGCCACTAGAGCTCTCCTACGCCACATACAGAAGTTAAATTCTTCACTACAGTAAAAAAAGAAACTTAAGGTGGAGTCAGAAAAGTGAAACACACTGCTCTTGCTGTTAGGTAATCTTCAGAGTTATAAGGATGCACGTTGAGTGAACAGCAGCCTGTCGCACAGCTCATTCCCCCCACTTCATAGCACCTTCCAGCTCTGTAATATGGTGGCAGAGAGGTGCACAAGACTTTCAGTGAATAGTTGAATTCAATAAACACCATACAACTTTCTTGTCTCGATCAGTGTGGTAAATAATGTGCTGTCTGCATTAACCATGCACACAGGCTATACTTCAGACATCGAGGCAGTCACTGGATTGCTGAAATTGAGACACATTCAATCATGGGCATCAACCACTCTGTGGGTGCCACATTCCTCTGTGATCAAGCTGAACACATAAAACACAGGGGTGACAATGTGAAAGGTACTGTATTTCTAGAAAACAAGTTGTTGTTGTTGCTGTTATGTGCCATTGAGTCACTTGCGACTCATAGCAACCCTGTGTAAAACAGCCCTAAAACCCTGCTCTATTCTGTGCCAATCTTATTGTCTCCAACATACCTACCCCCATTAACCCAGTCACTAAATCAATCCATTCCATAGAGGATCTTCCTCTCCTGTGCTGTCCCTCCACCCTTCCAAGCATTATGTCCCTCTCCAAGGACCTTGCAAAGGTCCAAAGTATGTCAGATGAAGCTTCAGAAACCTTACCTTCAAGGAGCAGCCTGGCTTCACCCTCTCTAGGACAAATTTGTTTATTTTCCTAGCAGTCCACGGTATATCCAATACTCTTCTCCAGCACCACAGCTAAAGGTATCAATTCTTCTATCATCCCTAATCATTGTCCAGCTTTCTGATGCATAGCATGTAATTGCAAAGACCATGGTATGTATCAGGTGCACCTTAGTCTCCAGACAGACATCATTGCTCTTCAGTACTTTGGAGAGGTCTCTGACCCAACACAATTCATCTAATAACAATAGATTCCCAAAGGTGAACTGCTTGTTGTTGTCATTGTGTACCATAGAGTCGGAATTGACCCATAGCTGACCCTCTGGCGGGTTTTCAGAAGCAGTTAGTTAATCAATCGCATAGGAGGAGATTGTTCATTTTCTCCCATGGAGCAGCTGGTAGGTTCGAAATGTGTGCCTTCGGGATTGCAATGCAGCCTCTTGCCACTAGGCCACCAGAGCCTGCTTACCCGTCTCCAAATTACCTATGCCCATTCATTGTTCTTAATAGAAATTATAATAGGCCCCCTCCTAGGAAGGTCGGCACATAGTGACTTGTGCTGAGAATCCAAAGATCTCTTTTTCTTGGTGGTTCAGATCCACCAGCTCTTCCAGGGAGAAAGATGGGTAACCGCCTCCTGCCATTGGGTCAAAACTGACACCTAACTGATCCTCCAGTGTTTTGTTCCAGTTTGGGGTGTTTTGAGTTGGTTTTCCACCGTCCACCCTCCCACGTTTTTTCCAACAGAGCAGCTGGTGGATTTGAACCATGTAATATGAAACAGAGAAACTGATATGGTCTTGGAGAAATGTAAAATATGAGTTGGATCTAAAAGAAGATCCTTATCTTCATCTTTATTATAATTTTCATTAGGATTTATACAAAGGAATGATTGCAATTAAAAAACGCAAATGAACGGTCCTTTGTAAATAGTCCTGTGTAAATGGACTGTATCTCAACATTAAAAAAGCAAAGATCCTCACCACTAGCCAGCAGAAAGTCAAAGACAAGCTGCATCAGGGAAACCTACCATCAAGGACCTCCCTGCGGTGCCAGGGAACAATGATAACAGTTTAAAGACTAAGGCACACCTAATTCAAGTCAATTATTTTCTATGCATCTGAAAGTTGGATAATGAATAGGGAAGACAGAAGAAGAATCAGTAAGTTTGAATGGTGGTGCTGAAGAAGAGCACTGAACATCCCATTGACTGTCAAAAGAACAAATACATCTTGGAGAAGGTGCAGCCAGAATGCTCCTTAGAGGCAAAGATGATTAAACTTCATTTTACATATTTTGAGCATGTTGTTAGGAGAGGTTTGTTGTTGATTGCTGTCGAGTTGAGTGCGACTCATAGCAACCCTATGAACAAAAAGCCTTTCTATAAGTATCGTCGTTTCTCAGAGTTCATAGAATTTCCAGAAGCAGGTTGTTTAGGAAGTGGATGCCACTCCTGCTTCCAAACCTGTCTTAAACTGGGCGCTCCATCAAACACTGTCCACCAGTAACCGTTATGCCATTTGGCACTCAAATAGCACAAGGTTCAGCATCACAGCAACCCCAGGTTGCGTTGCATAATACTCCACTGTGTGAATGTACTATGGCTTCATTAACCATTAATTCATTGATGTACAATTAGGTTGTTTTGGTCTCTTTGCAAATTTTTAAAATGCTGGAATAAACGTTGGTTTACAAATATAAGTTCATGCCATAGGCCTTATTTCCTTAAACACGTTGCCGCAAATTACAGCAAATGTGTTTCTAAGCACAGTCGTCAATTTTAAAAGTGTGCGGCAACGTGTTGAGGTATGTACCTAATAATGGGGTTGCTGGATCAAATGGCATTTCGACTATCAGTCTTTTTTTTTTCTCTAGGCATCTTTTTTTAAAAACATAAAATTTTTGTTTTGTACTGGTTTACTTATAGAATTGTTTATTTTAAGGAACTTAGGATAGGCTTTTGTTGTTGTTATGTGCTATCGAGTCGCCTGCGACTCATAGCGACCCTATGTACAACAGCCCTAAACTCCGCTCTGTCCTGTGCCAATCGCACTGTCTCTGACACTCCCATCCCAATTATCCCAGTCACTGAATCAATCCACCTCATAGAGGGCCTTCCTTTCCTGCACCGTCCCTCCACCCTCCCAAGCATGATGTCCTTCTCCAAGGACCGGTCTCTCCTCACATGTCCAAAGTATGTTAGACGGAGCCTCAGAATCCTTGCCTCCAAGGAGCCACCCGGTTTAACCCTTTCCCGGACAAATCTGTTTGTTTTCCTAGCAGTCCAAGTCCTAGTATTCTCAATACTCTTCTCCAGCACCACAGCTCAAAGGCATCAATTCTCCTTCTATCCTCCTTGGTCATTGTCCAACTCTCTGATGCATAACAAGTGATTGCTAAGACCATGGCCTGTATCAGAAGCACCTTAGTCTCCAGAAAGACACCATCGCTCTTCAGTACTTTGGAGAGGTCCCTCACAGCAGACTTTCCCAGAGCAATGCACCTTTTAATTTCCTGGCTGCTGGTGCCAAGACTGTTGACTGTGGAGCCAAGCAAACTAAAGCTAGTCTTTGGAAAAAAGACATCATGCTTAGAAAGGTGCAGGGTCAGTCAATGAAAGAGAGGAAGCCTCTCAACAAAAAGGATTGACACAGTGATTGTAGCAATGGGCTCAAGTGTATCAAGGATAGTGAGATGGCACAAGATAGTACAGGATTCAGATCTGTTGTTCATAGAGTTATTATGAATCATAATAGATTCAAAGGCACCTAACACATAAGTGGAAGTATGTCAATGCTGGCAACCAAAAGGTCGGTAGTTCGAACCCACTAACTTCTCTGCAGAAGACAGATGGCTGGCACTCCGCTTCCAAAGGCCCCTTTGAATCAGCAGCCCCTTGGGAACAGCTTGCACTACCCTCTTCAATATTCTTTGAATCCATTGTCCATCCAGATTGCGTTTTCCGAGGCTAGCCACCAGATGGCGATGGGGCGCCACGTCTTACTCTAATCGCTATCCTCCAAGCACGCGCCCACCCGGAAGCCCGGGAGCGCGCACGCCCCGGAGCTCGCGTCGGCTGTAAGCGCTGGTGACGTGCGCGTGGTTTGCGCAGTTACACGGCCGCCGGGCCGCCCGGGCCCGAAGCTCCCGGACCCATGTGGAAGCTGCTTCCCGACACGGGCTCGGCCCGAGGTAAGGGGGTAACATGGGCATGGGGGCTGTTTTTCCCGGAAGCGGCTGCCGCGGGGACAGAGATTTTGGAAGCGATGCTTCCGGTCTGTGGCGTCCCTCTGGCTCTCTTCCGGCACCACCTCCGTTCCCGCCACGGGAGATTCCGGCTGCGGCATCTTCCCGGGCAGCGCGGTCCCCTCTGAGGAGATTATGTCCTGCGCGACGGAGGTTTGCGGTGCCCACTGCATCCTCCTCACCTCGTGTAAATTCCCCTGTGGGGACATTCTCGACCCGGGCTCTTGATCTGCACGATTGCATTTTGTCCCGATGCCGGCTGTGTCCCTTTACAAGTTTAGAGACAAAAGTTCGCCATACTTTTTAATACATGCCAGAACACGAATCCGCCCTGAGCACAAGATTTGTGTGAAGTAGCACAGAGAAGCTATGTGGAAAATGCAGGCGCAGGAACTCACTTGTTTTTATTTCAAGTTGTTTTCCCTCTTCATGTTTATCAGGACAGCTGAAAACATAGTGGGGCTCCCGCTCTGCAAGTGCAGCAGTGGAAAATGGTAATCACAAATTAACTAATCACTTGGTGTGTACAGGTCCTTGTTGCGGAAGTATATAGCCTGTGCTTGGTCCTTGCGCTTTGATAGTTTATGATGCGAGGAAAATACGCTCTTTGTGGAAACTTACGTTTGCAATATGAAGCTTAATAGCAAAGCCCTCGTTGTTACTTGAAGCTCTGGTGCGTAGTGGGTAGGGGGTTGCACTGCCAACCCAATTGGTTCGAATCCCCCATCCGCACTGCTCAGGATCAACTGTTGTTATGTGCCCTCTTGTCGCTTGCAACTCACAGCGACCCTATGTACAACAGCCCTAAACTCTGCCTTTCGCACTGTCTCCGATACACCCATCCCGATTACCCCGTTACTGAATCAATCCACCTCATAGAGGGCCTTCCTCTCTTGCGCTCTCCTTCCACCTTCCCAAGCGTGATGTCCCTCTCCAAGGACTTGTCCCTCCTTACAACATGTCCATAGTATGTTAGATGAAGCCTCAGAGTCCTTGCCTCCAAGGAGTAGCCTGGTCTAACCCTCTCCAGGATGAATCTGTTTGTTTTCCTAGCAATCCATGGTACCCTAAATACTCTTCTCCAGCACCACAGCTCAAATGCATCAATTCTCCTTCTATCCTCCCTAGTCATTGTCCAACTCTCTGGTGCATAACAATGATTGCAAAGACCATGGCCTGTATCAGACGCACCTTAGTCTCCAGAGAGACACCGTTGCTCTTCAGTACTTTGGAAAGGTCCCTAACAGCAGACTTTCCCATCGCAATACGTCTTTTAATTTCCTGGCTGCTGTTGCCAAGCAAACTAAAGTTGTTAACAATCTCAATCTCTTCACCATCCATCCTGATGCTGCCAATTGGTCCAGTGGTGAGAACTTTCGTCTTCTTGACATTGAGCCTCAATCCATATTGGAGGCTGCAGCCCTTGACTCTGCAGCAAGCGCTTCAGGTCCTCCTCAGTTTCAGCAGGATCAACTAGGTTGGTTTATACCTAAGGGCAGAGAGAACGAGTGACTTGGAAGCCCTGCAAATGAGTGGCATAGATGTGCGCAGCATCCACCATGAGTTGGTTCATACTTCAGGGTAGTGAGAGGGAGTGTGACTTGGAACCCCTGCAGAAACTGCCTGAGACCAAGCTCACAATTGGGGAAGGGGGTGATGGGTAAAGGAAGTGGGAAAGATGGGATGGGAAGGGGAAGATCTGCTAAGACAGGGCAATGGTGGGCATAGTTCAGTAGTGGTTAATTTTCTAAAATATCATGAATGGGAATGATTGTATGAAACAAAGTGAAGGATTATGTGAAAATATAAATGAATTTTGTATGCAAACCAATATAATTTTTTTAAACCACAAAAACAAAACAAAAAATACCCCCCAAGACTATTTCCCTTTAGCCTATAAAATTTTTGGTATTTAATTATTTGTTACATGCTGTGAGTCAACTATGACTCATAGCACCTCTAGGAACAATGACTCTGAGCTTTGCCCTATGCTGAGTTAACCTCACTGTCTTTGACACACATAACCCCATTGCCACAGTCACTGTGTCAATCCGTTTCATCCGTAGTTTTCCTCACCTGCCCTTCCAAGCATGATGTCCTTCTCCAAGGACTGGTCCTTCTTGACCATGCACAAAAAGTGTGAGATAGAGCTTCAAAATGCTTGCCTTCAAAGAGCTACCTGGTTTTACTTTCTCAGTAACAGACCTGTTTGTTCTCTTGTCAGTCCATGCTGTATTCAGTACTCTTGTCCAACATCGTAATTCAAAGCATGAATTCTTCCTCTTTCATTCTTATTCATTGTCCAGATCTCAGATACATATCAAGCAGTTGAGATCAAGGACTAGATCAGACACCTTTAGTCTCTATATTGACACTGTTACTCTTGAGCACTGTGGAGAGGTCCTCGACAGCAGATAGTCCCAATGTATCTCATCTTTTTATTTCCTGATTTCTGGTGCCAAGGATGTTAATTGTGGATCTGAGCAAGATGAAATCATTAACAGCCTCAATCTTTTATCCATTAGTCATGGTATTGTCTATTGGTCCAGTGGTGAGGATTTTTGTTTTCTTATCTTAAGATGCAATCCATATTGAACGCAATAGTCTTTGACCTTCTGCAGCAAACACTTGTGGTCCTCCTCAGTTTCTGTGAGCAAAGTGTGTCTGCATAAGGTAGGCTGTTGATGAGTCTTCCTCCAGTCCTGATGTCACAATCTTCCTCTGAAAGTCTCCAACACATATGATGTTATAACAGCAATTTGTGACTTTCAACCTTTTAGTAACAATTAATCCTTTCCAATGGTTATGCTGCTAATCTAAAAGTTTCATAAATTTGGTAGTTCAAATTCACCAGCTCTCGAGAGGGAAGAAATGTGCAAAATTTCCTCCTGTGCAAACACCTTGAAAACTCACTGGAGGGTCAGTTGTGAGTTGGCTCTTTTTAATACTGAAAAGTTGTCTTTAACTCATATATGCTCATATATGAATGCACATTCATCTGTTCTGTATTTTATTGAATTGATTGTTCTATGTTTGTTTACTTTTGGTATAAAATTTTACTTTTTAATTAATATAACTTTATGGCATACTTGATACTGAGATCAAGAAAACAAAAATCCTTTTAACTGGACCGATAGATAACAAGACAATGAAGAAAGGATTGAAGTGTCATTGATTTCACTTTTTTGGAATCCATAATCAGTACTCATAGTAGCAGCAATCAGGAAATCAAGAGACATGTCATCTTGATAAGATTTGCTGTCAAGGACATCTCCAAAGTGCTAAAGAACAAGCATGCCACTGTAAAGATCACAGTGTGCTTGAATCAAGCTGTGATGGTTTGGTGTTTGTTTCATATGGTATCTTTGAATTGTTAGTTTGGAGAATACAAAACAGACTGCCAAAAAACTAACAAGTGCAGCCAGGATGCTCCTTAGAGTCAGGGATGGTGAAACTTCATCTCAGCATACTTTGGAGATGTTGTCTGGAGGGTCCAGTTGTTGATAAAAGGCACTGTGCTGAAAAACATGGAGGGTCAGCAAAAGAGAGAAAGGCCCTCAACAAGATAGATTAAACAATGAATTCAACTGTGGACTTGAGCATGACCAAGATTGTGAGGATGACAGGATAGGACAAGAATTTAACCTGTCCATAGGGTTGATATGAGTCCTATTTGTTTGCCATCAGACAGGGTGTATTCTAACATTCAGCTTTTTCTTGACAGTTATTTTTTTGTGTTCAACTTAATGTGCAAATTTCCAAATTAAGCAGCTTATCAGTTCCCCAGGAGCTGTTTAAGTCATGCAGACAGGTAAACACTCAATGACTAGTAGAAATATTGGCTTGCAAACCTACCCAGATGTGCCTTGAAAGACAGGCCTGGCCACCTGTTTCTAAAAAGCCATAGCCCCCAAAACCCTGTGACATGTGTATGTGAATCTGAATCAGATTGACAGCAACTAATGACAACATCAAGTTCCATAAATGTATTGAGATTTTGTTTGATGATATATTAAATTTGTAAGTTCATTTAACTCCTTTCTGTATAGATTTTCCTTTCAGAAACATGAGAAAGCTTTTACATCTATCTAGATAATCATTTGAATCCCTCAGTGAAACTTTAATAGAAAAGAACATTTGATATCATATAATTACCATTCAAATATTAAGAATGTATAAGTACTTTCTATAACTATATGTTTGTAGATTTGTATGCCTATAAATATGAGTATGCCTGTGTACTGCATTACATTTTTATTTTCTTTTTAAAATTTCTTTTAGAAGAAACATACAGACTTTTGACTGGTGTTGAATACATTGTTGGAAGGAAAAACTGTGGCATTCTGATTGACAACGATCAGTCCATTAGTCGAAATCATGCCGTCTTAACTACTAACTTTCCTGGAACCAAATTGGTATGGTCATAATTTTATTTTACTGGTTTGCAATGAGGTGGTTGAAATTGTGAGTGATTAGTTTGACACATAGGTAAGGGAGATTTCACAAGACATCTCCTCTCATAAAGTAACTAGCAGCTCTGCTGATCTGGAGGTGCTCAGTTCGAATCCACCAGTTATTCTGTGTGAGAAGGATGAACAGTCTTCTTGTAAGCAATTTACTGCCTCTGAAAACGTGTTGGAGGGCCACCTATGGATTGATTCCAACTAAGTGGTACATAACCATAGCAATAGTGTATATTAGCAGTAGTATCAATGGTATTACTTATTTTGAATTTAAAGTCTGTGTTTCACCCAGGTTTAAAAACCCATTCATTTTAGTGACTTAAAAACTCAGAGGAAATAGGACATACTGACATTTATTCAATATTCAATGAATAATTACTTTGTATCAGTGACTGTGCCTGGTGATAGAGCAGTGAACACATATGATCATGAATCCTTCTACTGTAGCCCTGTAAACACTGGTGTTTTTGTATAAGTTGTATAATACGAGTTTACATGAGTTACATGATAAGGAAGTGTTTCTTTCTTGTGTTGTACAGCTCCTTTAAATGGCTTTAAAAAGAATCCTATAATTTAAAAAAAAAAAACAACACAACAACTTCAAAGATTTTTTTTTTAATTGCCTATGCTTTTTAAAAAATAAAATCCATTTGGGAAGGGAGCTCTGGTGGCCTAGTGGCAAGAAGCTGCACTACAATCCCAGAGGTACACGGTTCGAATACACCTAATGCTCTGGTGGAGTAGTGGGGGCAATCTCCTCCTGTACCAGTCAGATGTGGCTTGACAGTACACACACACACACACAAATAATAAAATCTAAAAAAAAATTTTATAAAAAAATCCCATTTGGGATAAAAATGATAAAGTACAGATAGCTCTGCTCTTGATAATGCTGGTGGGAATAAGCAGGGGGAAGCCATTATTTTGAGATTGCATGTAAGTAAATGCTGGATTTGTTCAGTAATATTTACATCTTGTTTCTGTATTTTAGATATAAAGAAATATTGTTCAGATTCCTACGGAGAAAGAAAAGTTTAGCAACAAATATGAGAAACTAATCTTTAATTTCCTTTTCCCTCCTTTCAACCAGTTTTTACAATATGATTTTGATAATTAAAAAGAAAAAATGTTGGCGACTATACTGTCTTGTTATATATGAAACAGTATACAGAAATGAAGAGTCTAGTGTGTGAAAATGAGGGATTGGGGGGAAAAGTGCTGTCTTATGAAAAAGAAAAATGTTTATATTCTGAAAGCTATAATTAAACATGCTCGAAATTCATGACGTCCCTAGGTGGTGTAAATATTTAACAGTTTACTTGGTCAGCTCAACTTAGAGGTACCTCAGAAATCAAACCTGGTGATTTAGTTGTAAAAAATCAGCCATTGAAAACTGTGAAGCACAGTTCTAACCCAGCACATGAGTCAGAAGCCAGTTAATGGTAACTGGTTTGCATTTTGTTTTGCTCTTAGAGGAAATATCAATTGCTAGTTGAGTATTCATTTTTATCAGGCAACCAAAACAATAATTATATTGATTGTTGTGTTAGGAAGGGAGCACTGGTGGCGTAGTGGTAAGGAGCTGTGCAACCAACCCAAAGGAACACAGTTTTAATCCAGCAACTGCTCTGTGGAAGGAAGACTGGTAATCTCCTACGTGATTTACTGCCTCTGAAAACCCTCTGGAGGGTCAGCTGTAGTTTGGTTCTGACTCCACAGTACATGTCAATAATTGTGTTAGGAAGAGGGTTCTGGTGGGCTGGTAGTAAGAAGTTGCGCTGCCAACCCAAAAGGCACATGGTTCGAATCCACCAACTTCTTTAAGGGTGACAAGTGAATAGTCTCCTCCCATGCAGTTTATAACCTCTGAAAACCCACTGGATGGTCAGTTATGAGTTGGTTCTAACCTGATGCATGTAACAACAACATGGTGTTGAGAAGTTGACCATTTTACTGTTGAATATTTTAAAACTTGTCAATCTCTTCTTTTGAAATTCTTCCCACTGGGATTTGTATTACCTGAATGGTAAAAAAAAAATTAACTTATTTCTTGATTTTTCAGAGTCAGACAAATGAAATCCCTGTATTGACAATAAAAGATAATTCTAAGTATGGGACCTTTGTTAATGAAGAGAAAATGCAGAATTGTGTTTCTAAAACTTTGAAGACAGGGGACAGAGTTACCTTTGGTGTTTTTGACAGTAAATTCAGGTAAGACTTACAAATTGATAGAAAAACAGGTGATTTTGTTTGGTACTGATTATAATTTAAGGGAAAAAGATATTACTGATGTTGAGTTGAAGATAGTGTGCTTTACTCAGTAGTGAGCTTTGTGCTGTGGGTCTTTATACCCTAGAGGGTTGGTTGTGGATGACCGTGACCATGAATGAGTCATTGGGTGGATGCTGAGAAACTTCACTGTAGCTACTTGTGAATGAATGCTCATACCTAGTGAAAGTATAATGCTAACTTTGATCATTGTTTGTTTTGGGACTTGAGACTTAGGAAGTGATAATTTTAGAAGTTAGAAAGTTTATAACATGAAGAAAGCATTACATGTTGACATTAACGTAATTTAAAGTGCTATGGATTGCAATTTCTGTAAACTAGTCGTTTAACCTGATGCACCTTACTCTTATTCACAGGGTGGAGTATGAACCATTGGTTGCCTGCTCTTCTTGTTTAGATGCCACTGGGAAAATGGCTTTAAATGAAGCAATTTTTCAACTTGGAGGACTTTGTGTGAACAGTTGGACAGAAGAATGTACTCATCTTGTCATGATATCAGTTAAAGTGACCATTAAAGTAGGTTGAAAACCTTGTCAAATAAATTGAGTTCACATTCACTTAAACTAGTCATAGTATATATGTATACCGTACATAGACCTTTACGTTATTTACTTTAAATGCTATCAGAATGGTTGGATGTGGATTTAGAAATTCCCACTCCATGCTTAATATACTGAGTCTACTCATTGTGGTGTTAGTTCCAGTTTATACCCTCTCTGTGGAACAGACACTCTGGTCGTCTAGACAGTGGGGAGCTGCACTGCTAATCCCAAGATTGCGTCTCTGGGAGTTTACATCCACCCGCCTCTCCGAAGAAGAAAAGTGAGCGATTGCCTTCTGTGCAATTTACAGCCCTGCAGTCCCTATGGAAGGTCAGCTAGGGATCACTTGACTTGATGGCAGGGAGTTTTGTTTCAGGTAGTACAGAGTAAAAATGCCTCCGGAGTTATGGGGCTGTACATCTTCGTAAAGCAGACTGAATAAGCTTTCTTCCTGCGAGGAGCCAGTGTATTCAAATTGCTGACCTTTTTGTTAGCAGCCAAGTGCTTTTAACCAGAGGGCTACCAGTGCTCCTTGTTTATACTAAATATTTGGCTTGCATATAGGCTGGAATGACTTCTGTGGTGACTTATTTATTATTTGAGACAAGTAAAAGCGAATAAAATGAGAATTTTGATTGAGCATTTAGTTTAATGGCAAAACTGCTGGTCTTCAAAGTTAGCATCTCATTTCTCTTCTATCAAATTGTCTTCTGGCAGTTGGCGATGCTCTTTCCTGAACATGCTGTCTTATTTGATATCTCAATGTCTTTAGAATTAAAATGAATTATAAAATTTATTCGTATCTTATGCTTTTCTGTTCCATGTCCTAAAAAGCCATTTTTCTTCATTTTAGACAATATGTGCACTCATTTGTGGACGTCCAATTGTAAAACCAGACTACTTTACTGAATATCTCAAAGCAGTTCAGTCCAAAAAACCACCTCCACAAATGGAAAGGTATGCTGTGCATTTTCTATATATTACATATAAATGGATTTATACAGTATTATCTATATTTGATTTCTTTCATTCAGCATAATGTTTCTACAGTTGATTTATAACATAGAATTTATCAGACCTTCTTTCCTCTTTATGGCTAAATAGCGTTCCATTGTATGTATATATCAAATTTTGTTTCTACATTCTTCATTCATTCTTTGAGCACTTGGGTGGTTTTTACTTTTTATCTGTTGTGAGTAGTGCTGTAATGAATACTGGTATACATGTGTATTTTTAAAACTAGAACACATAATATTTTTTAATCAGTGATTTAGAATACCAGAATAGTGCAGTGACATGCATTTGTCCTTTCTTGATTTAGGTCTTTCCTGCATATCACCTAGTTATTTGATATTCCAAGTTCTAGAATTTATAAATTTAGAATAAACTTAAATTATCTGTTATGTTGTTGTTGTTATGTGCCATTGAGTCGCTTGCGACTCATAGCGACCCTGTGTACAACATCCCTAAACTCTGCTCTGTCCTGTGCCAATCACACCGTCTCCGACACACTCATCCCGATGACCCCAGCCACTGAATCCGTCCACCTCATAGGGGGCCTTCCCCTTCTGTGCTGTCCCTCCACCCTACCAAGCATGATGTCCCTATCCAAGGACCTGTCCCTCCTTGCAACATGTCCAAAGTATGTTCGACAGAGCCTTAGAATCCTTGCCTCCAAGGAGCAGCCCGGTTTGACCCTTTCCAGGATGAATCTGTTTGTTTTCCTAGCAGTCCATGGTACCCTCAATCCTCTTCTCCAGCACCACAGCTCAAAGGCATCAATTCTCCTTCCATCCTCCTTAGTCATTGTCCAACTCTCTGATGTATAACAAGTGATAGCAAAGACCATGGCCTGTATCAGACACACCTTAGTCTCCAAAAAGACACCATTGCTCTTCAGTACTTTGGAGAGGTCCCTAACAGCAGACTTTCCCATCGCAATACGTCTTCTAATTTCCTGGCTGCTGGTGCGGAGCGTGTTGACTGTGGAGCCAAGCAAACTGAAGCTGTGAACAATCTCAATATCTTCACCATCCATCCTGATGCTGCCAATTGTCTTCTTGACATTGAACCTCAGTCCGTATTGGAGGCTGCAGTCCTTGACCCTCTGCAGCAAGCGCTTCAGGTCCTCCTCAGTTTCAGCAAGCAGGGTTGTATCATCTGCATAATGCAGACTATATTGATAGATCTTCCACCAATCTTGACCCCACATTTCTCCTCATAGAGCCCAGCCTCCCAGATAATCTGTTCTGCATACAGGTTGAAAAGGTACGGAGACAGGACACATCCCTGGCATACACCCATCCCAATTTTGAACCATGCAGTGTTTCCTTGCTCTGTTCTGACAACTGCCTCTTGGTCCAAGTATAGGTTTCTCATTAGCACGATCAAGTGTTCTGGGATTCCAATTCTTCTCACAGTCAGCCACAGTTTGTTATGATCCACACAGTCAAACTCCTTTGCATAGTCAATGAAACACAGACATTCCTCTGGTACTCCCTGCTAAGATCCATCTAACATCAGCTATAATGTCCCTAGTACCACAACCCCTTCTAAACCCAGCCTGCACTTCTGGCAGTTCTCTGCTGATGTGTTGTTCCCCTCGTTTTTGGATAATCTTCAGTAGAATTTTGCTTGCATGTGAAATCAATGAGATTGTTCTATAGTTTCCACACTATGTTGGGTCACCCTTCTTTGGGTTGGGAACAAATATAGATCTCTTCCAGTCAGTTGGCCAGGTGGTTGTTCTCCAGATTTCTTGACACAACTTAGTGAGCACGTCCAGGGCAGCATCTGTTAGCTGAAATATGTCAATTGGTATACCATCTATTCCTGGGGCCTTATTTTTTGCTTTTTCCTTCAAATCAGCTTGAACTTCTTCCTTCGTCACCATAGGCTCTTCTTGCTCATATGTTGTTTCATGAAATTCTTCTGTGTCTGCCAATTCCTTTTGATACAGTGAGTCAGTATATTCTTTCTATCTTCTTTTAATACTTCCTGGATCATTTAACATTCTGCGGAAAGCATCCTTGCTTATAGCAACTTGAGGTTTGAATTTGTTCTTCAGTTCCTTGAGCTTAAGAAATGCTGAGCGAGTTTAGCCCTTTTGATTTTCTGACTCCAACTCCTTACACATTTCATTGTAATATTTTACTTTGTCATCCCGTGCTGCCCTTTGAAGTCTTCTGTTCAACTCTTTAGTATCTTGAATTCTTCCCTCTGCTTTAGCTTCTCTCCGCTCCAGTGCAATTTTCAGAGTCTCTTCAGACATCCATTTTGGTCTTTTCTTCCTCTTCTGTCTTTGTAATGAACGTTTGCACTCTTCTTGGATGATACCCTTGATATCCTCTCACAGCTCATCTGGTCTTCGATCATTAGTGTTCAAGGCCTCAAACGTGTTCCTGAGATGGTTCTGAAATTCAGGTGGGATAGACTCGAAGTCATATTTTGGTTCCCGTGGACTAGGTTTAATTTTCCTCAGTTTCAGCTTGAACTTGCATATGAGTAGTTGCTGGTCTGTTCCAAAATCAGCCCCTGGCATAGTGAATTAAAATGTATGCAGTTCTTAAGGTAATGGTTTTAAATTTTGAACTTTTTAATTATGACCCAGCTCTACTTTATGAAATATGTATGCTGTCAAGGAAAACTCTGAGAGTAAAATATAAACAAATTATTTCTAGAGTACTGATTGATGGCTCTGATGCCTAAGTATTTTTGTCACATTAGCTGTTGCTTAGTGGAGAGATTTAATTCCTGATTCTTTTAAGACTGGTTGATCTCCCCCTTATATATTATCTTCCCACTGTGATACTGTAGTCATTTTTATTAGAAGATACATTTACACATTTACTCCATTCACACATTGCCAGACTAATTAGGAATATCAATGGGATTATATGGAAGTTTGAAAAAATTATATGGAAGTTTGATAAAAGGCTTAAGACTTATCTCTTCATTTCTGTATTCTTTCCCCCTGTTTCCACGGATAATTCTTATAGTTGTATGTCATTCTATACTCTTTGTTTTTCAATACTGTTCTTTTTTAAAAATATTCTTTAGCTAATAAACTGTGTTCTCTATTCTCACTTTGCAAATTTTATTTAAATGGAAAAGAATGCAAATTTTTAATTTCCTTAGCTTTTCTAAACAAATCTGTACAGAAACAATGTTTGTGCTGAGAATTGAAATATTGATGTTATTAATGCATATTGGGCCCCAGACGTAAGATTCTAATATGAAACAGTATAAAATTTTAAAATGTGTCTAATGATAGTATCTATATTGATATATACATTTCTAGAAAATAAAGGATAGTCTTACCAAATTTTTAAATAAAACATTTAGATGCTTTTTAATATTTTAACCCGGATAAAATGCTTAATTTTTAAAAGTACTGTATTGGTGTTGTGGAAATTAAGCCTTTTCATATCTAGTTAGCAACTCTGTTTACAAATTACAAAAATGTAATACATAATTAGAGTATGTTGTTATTTCTGTCAAGTTGGAGCTGACTCATAGCTGACCCTCCAGTGGGTTTTCAGAGGCAGTTAAAATCATAAAATGAGATTGCTCATTTTCCTTTAGAAGAACAGCTGGTAGATTTGAACACATGCCTTTGAGATTGTAGGACAGCTCTGCCATTAGGCCATCAGACCCCCTAATAAGCCACTGCTATTGCTGTTGTGTGCCATCAAGTTGAAAATGACCCATAACTGACCCTCCAGCAGGTTTTCAGAGGCAGTAAATCACACCAGAGGAGATTTCCATCCTTCTTAGAGCTGCTGGTGGGTTTGAACTGCATGCATTTGGGATTATAGTACACCTTCTTATTACTAAGCCACCAGAACTCCCTGTTAAGTTACTAGAACTCCCTAAAAAGAATATATTTTAATTTATCTTTTTTACAGTTTTTACCCACCCATTGATGAACCAACTATCGGAAATAAAAATATTGATCTCTCAGGGCGACTGGAAAGGAAGCACATCTTCAAAGGGAAGACATTTGTATTTCTAAACGCCAAACAGGTAATCCTATACACTTAAATTCACTAATAGAAAGCATTACAAAGCAAAATAAATTGTTAATGTCTTTTGTCAGTAGTTGTTATTGCACTATATTTGAGGAGTTTGTGTAGCAGTGTGAAGGAGAATAAAAATATTGATCAGGTTCCAGAATCTGCTAGTGACTGTGCACAGATGATTATATTTCTTGTTTGTGCCTTTCAGCTTGGCCCTGATTCACTTTTAGTAATTGAGGAATTGATGTATTCATTAATTAGGGAGCTGTGGTAGCCTAGTGGGTACAAAGTTGATCTGCCAAACCAAAGGCAAGTAGTTTGAATCCACTATTATGTGAAAGATGGGCAGTCTCCTCCTCTGCCTTTTATATCCTTTTGAAACCTGCTGACAGCTATGAGTTGGTTCCAGCTCCGTGGTAATGAGGAATTTTTTTAGCTACTAATTAATTATTAGGGAACTCTGGTGGCCTAGTAATAAAGAGCTGTGCTACCAACACGAAGTCATGGTGTTCAGATCCACCAGCTTGCTCCTTGGGAGAAAGATGGGCAGTTACCTCCCATGCAGTTTCCTCCCTCTGAAAATCCACTGGAGGGTCAACTATATGTCAGTTCCAACTCAACAGTACATAACAATAATTAATTATTAAAGCCAGTGGACAGGAAGTTTGGTTTAAGTCTTTTTTTTTATGATTTATTCACTGCAAATACTTTATTTATAAAACACCAAATAGTAACTTTACACATGGACCTCACCTAAGGAACTGCATAGGAATCACATTGACTATACTTGTGGAAGGAATCATTAGAGAAGCTCAATATCAGCAGTCAAAAGTAGGCCAGGGCTGGACTGTGGAACAGATCATCATTTCCTCCAGTGCAAATTCAAATTGAGGCCAAAGAAAATTAAATCAAGGTTGTTTCTTGTGTACCATAGAGTCAGAAGTGACCCATAGCTGACCCTCCAGTGGGTTTTCAGAGGCAGGTAATTGCCTGCAAGGAGATTGTCTATCCTTCTCCCTCGGAGCAGCTGGTGGCCTCGAACCATTTGCCTTTGGGATTGCAATGCAACTTCTTGCCTATGGGTCACCAGAGCTCCCTAAGAATTAAATTCCTTCCCTGGGTTATGTAATTGATACAACTCAAGATACCAGAGATTGTACTGCACTGACTATGATTAGAGAGTTTGCTCATAAGGTGTGCAGTAATGTGCTCAGTACATAGCAAAAGCTTAGTAGTGAAGACAGTTCACAGCACCTAGATCACAAATGCTTGAGAAAGCTTCTGAAATACAGTGATTTCTGGAAGAGAGTCTTCAGCTAGGTACTCCAGAGAAACCGAACCTTTGCACTTGACTGATTGAGAGAAATCTCAAGGAAATGTGGGGAACTTAATTAGTCTTAATTATCAATAGGTAGGCATGACTATAGGCTGCTGGCTTTGGAAGCTACCAGCTTCAGAGGCTGACATGTCCAAAGATCATTGCTAAGAAGCAGGCTTGCAGATGTCTGGCTTTGGAAGTTGGAAGTTCAAAGTTAGCAAGTACAACAAGTCATTGCTTCAAGTCTGGAGACCAAGAGCCAGAAAACCAGATGTAGAGAAAAAAATGCTCACTAGATTTATAATACTGTGTCAATGCAGACTGCATCCCTAAGGAGACCTTTTAATTAAATGAGGCTAATCATACCTTTATGGAATCCTAGCTCATTGACATAGGGGTTAGACTTTACAACAAATGGCATAGTTAGATTATACTAAATATCATTATGACAAAAAAAATCACACTGATAAATGTCAGTAGTTGTAGAAGGGCTTCAGGCCTTTTGTTTATAGGGTCACTATGAGTCGTGTTGAACTCAAAGGCAACAACAACCACCATCATAAAGGGTATTAACTGATAGTATGAGTTTTGGCACACAGAACAGTAAATCTTTTTTTGTTGTTGTTTTAATTTTTAAATTCACAATAACAGATATGTTAAGTATGTTGTACTCCTCTAATATCCACAGTAAACACATCGTGTGTTACCTCTGTTTAATTGAGATTACATTTGAATCTGTTGCTGTGGGTAGTGAGTCCTCAGCATCCTACTAGAACTCAGGGGCTCTGTTTCCAGGTTGATGTTATGTAGTAAGTGCAGTTGAGTCTGTTCCAACTCTTAGTGACTTCTGTGGACAACAGAATGAAACACTGCTTTCTCCGGTGCCATCCTCAGAAGATGTTTGAGTCCATCTTTTAATATACTAACCAATCAAGACTCTTTTCTCTTGGCCACAAACTGTGGAAAAGCTAACGTCTGGATTCCATTCTTCTAATGGCTCTGTCACACTGCAATAATTAAAATCATACACCATACCTTTTCAACATGTATGCAGAGCAGATTATCCGAGAGGCTGGGCTCTATAAGGAGAATTGTGGCAT